GAGGAACTGGGGATGCCATTTTTGTCCCATGCAGGAGAGGACGCATGGCATTTTCCCAGGAAATACAATGCCAGTTGAGTTGAGCTGGAGATGCCAGGGCTGCCTCCACAGGCTGACACTAAAGCCATGGCTCTCCCTCCTCCTCTGCCCAGAGCAGAGGTCCTGCACGTGAGGACCATAAGTAATGGCACTGTGGGCAAGAAGGGTCTGGCTGGTCTCAGCACCTCTTTCCTCCCTCCTGCCCAGGAAGTAAGCGTGGTCTTTGAGTCCAGAAGGAGCCAGATGGAGAAAGCACTTTAGGATTCATGGGGAGAGAGTGGCCCTGGGCCAGGGAGGCGGCGGACAGACTGAAAGGTGGGTTGCGTGCGTGGGAAGGACAGGGCTGGTGTGGTTCCCAGGGAGAGCCAAGGCAAGCACTCCACGAGGGGCTCAGGCTTAAAGGGAGACAGCACTGGCTCAGAGGGCTGAGGGGCCACAGGAGGCGCCTGGTCCAAGAGCATCATGGATGCCTTCATTGGAGGGCCTGGTCAGTGGGCACCCGGGTCTCTGGAATTTTCCCCACCAGGACTGGTGCAGGATCCTGGGAGTAAGAGAGAGCCCGTTCTGATGGAGCTGGAATAGCTTAGCAAAGCCACAGGAGCTCAGGGCAGATTACATTCCACTGAGGAAATTTTAAGAGTGACCTTTCTTCTACTCCAAGTCACAGAGTAAAGGTAAATATGCTATGTTCTGAGATGTGCCCAACAAAACCCATAGACCAACGCCCTAGGCCCCAAGGCTTTTAGCAAACAACTAAGGTAAAATGAGGTCATAAGAGTGGGGTCTGATCCCATTGGATTAGTCCCTTCTGAGAGACACCAGAGAGCTCATTTTTTTCTGCCATGTGAGGAGGCAGCTACCTGCAAGCCACGAAGAGAACCTTCACCAGAATCAGAACCATGCGAGACCTTGAATCTAGAACTCCAGTGCAAATTTTTAAACAATTGCTATTTAAACCAATCTGTCTGTAGTATTTGTTATGGCAACCCCACGCAGACTAAGCCACCACATCTGCTATATATGGGTTTTTGTTTTTTTTTGTAGTGTAAAATATTAACAGTTTCCAGCTCTATTAACTATTAAGTTTCATCCACATTCTGTCCAGGTGACTTAAACCTCCCAGACTCTGGAGTCAAAGCCTCTTTAATACTCAAGGAATGATGGTGACTTGCTGTCCGATCTCCATGCAGGAAGTCCGGTTTTCTGCTCAGTTCCCTTACCCCAGTATTCCTAGGTCCCCTGCCCAGGAGGTGCAGGCAAGTCCCTCAGGTGCCTCTGGTTCGGCATCTGCACCACGCACTACTCTGCAGCGCACACCTGATTCCCTTTGGTGAGACCTGAGCCCCAGGTGCCACTTGAAGGTTTAGGAAAAGGAGAGCAGAGCTTGTTTCGGTGTGGGAGATGGCCATGGCCAGAGTCCAGTGGCCCCAACTTCTGGCCCATGTTGGGGGTAGTCTCCCCACCTACCAGGTGCTACAGGAGTCACACCCCCCCCCCCCCCCACCCACACACTCCCTACCCTAAGGCCAGTCCTCTGGAGCTATCCTTAACCATCTCAGGCCCACTGCCTTGAGGCCCCTCCACAGCCCTTCAGGAACCCCACCTTGGCCCTGGGCCTACTCCAGGGTCACTGGGTAGTCATTAGTTAATTAATTAATTTAAATTAATTAATTTATTTTTATTTGTCTATTTATTTATCTTTCAGTGCTGGGAATCAAACCCAGGGTCTCACGGATGCCAGGCAAACTCAATAGTTTCTCTGTGCCTGGGTCAGTGTGTCTGAAATGTTCTGTGAGAATCAGCTCTTTGGGTCACTTGCATTTAGCCAGGTCCGGTCCAGCTCCTACATTTCTTTCCTAATTTTTTTTATCATTCTGATTTCAGTCTTTCACAAGACACCACCCAGATGGGAAACACGCCTGAGTGTGTTCCTGCACCTCATCTGCACAGATGTAGGGTCCAATGCTGTCCTTAGAAAAGAGGGGCTTCCCGCAGATCACCCTAAATAACCTTTGCATGACTGCTATGCCCTGCAGAGACGTGGTTCCCCCCTGCAGGGGTGTTTGGGTTGCACTCACTCAGGTGACAGCCCCAGAACAAAGGCACTGCCTGAGACCTCAAAGACCAGCTCAGGGCTCCCTCCTCCTCCAAGGTGACTTTGAAGTGACGGTGCTTCTGATCTCTGAGACTTCAAAGTGCAAAAGACTCAGGTGAAGGCACTGTGCAGGCTCCTGGCTGGAGAGAACCTGGGCTGAACTAGAAACAGGGACAAGGGCCACGCTGTATCCCTGGGCTCCGGCTCCCAGGCCCCCCTCCTCTGCTCTAAAGTCTCCTCTCCCTCAAATGCCCATGATGGCTTGAACCAGGCTCATCAGAGTTCAGGGCTGGTGGGAAAGTGAGAAATGCTGTGGTGGCAATTTTAAGGGTGCAACCCCCTCCCCCCAAAAAACGTACCAACCTTTGCACATCTTTGAGTCCCCTCTTCTCAGAGTGAGGTTCTTCACAGTGGCCTCAGCCAGCCTCTCTGGGGCCCTGGAAGGCCACTGTCCACAACACAGCCAGCTCTCTGGGGTGAGGGGAGGGCCATGCGGCAGGTGCAGTTGTCTCTGTCCCTGCCTGGTAATTTGTCACACCTGCATGTGCAGCTTGCCTGTTTAGTTCTCACTGATCCATTAATCAAAACTTTTTGATCCCTTTGAGTCTCTAGAGTTACCTGCCAGATCTCATTTTGAGCCTTTTTGCAATTACTTTCTTTCTTTCTTTTCTTTATTTGCTGGGCTGAGGATTAAACACAAGTTCTCACTCATACGAGGCAAGGGCTCCACTGAGCTACACTCTCAGCCCCACAAATGCTGTTCCTTTGTGACAACTTGTTACCAGGGTGCTACCAAGGGAGACTCTCACATGTGGAGGCTCTTTGTATCCCAGACAAGCTGCATTCCATCAATATGGTGACTTTCAGCTTCATGGGGCCTTGAGAGGTGATTCAAGAGAGACAGAGTTGACTAACTCAGCTTGGGGACTGGCTTTCTTCCCTGGGGCCAAGAGGAATCATTGCCCCAAGGACACGACACCCACGTGAGGTGGCTCCCAGGCTAACGAGCAAGGATGTCCCCGGTCAGTCCTCAGCACTCAGGCCAGGCTGGGCTGTGCTCGGGACTGTGGGGAACTCAGGAGAAAGAGGTGGCCCAGGCCAGAGCCCAGCAGGTCACTGGCCAGGAGTTCTCTGCAGGTGAGCTGTGTTTCCATGTGGATGACTAGAGAAGAGAGGGTCCCAGTGGAGGACACATGGAGACTGGCCCTGTGTCTGTTGCCCCACAGTGACCAGCAGGCCTCTTGTGCTGGGAGTCCCATGTATGCAGAAGTTCTGGGACCTGTGGAAGCAGCTTCGGTGTCATGGCAATGGTACAAGATGGGAGCAGGGTGGGGTGGGCGGTGGCCGGTGTGTGGGTCTGTGCAGGCCACTTGCTAACACAGAGAACCAGGTATCCGAATGGTTCCAGGGAGCTGCCACCAACCCCCACAGATTTGCGTTCCAGGCCACTTGGGACAGGCCTGGCTGTGCTGCTGAGGCAGGCCTGAGGGCCGGCTCCCTGCAGCGTCAGAGCTGGTGTCCAGTGGCCACTGAAGGGACCGAGATTGATGGGTCCCCTGGCAGGAGCTATCAAGGGCCAGCTCTTCCATGGAGCCAGAAAGTGTAGTCCAAGACAAGATCACACTGCATTGTACAAATCTATTTATTTGGCAAATCAGATTAATGAAATCATTTTTCCAATTAATTGTGCTGGTTTCACAAATGTACATATAGCAGGTATGTCTCAGGTGTTTCCAGGCGAGGAGTACTAACAAGGTCATGTTCACGGCCAAACACCACCCTTGAGCCCCACTGACTCTAGTAGCAGGAATCTCAGCCTTTCCCACAACGGAGTGCTGGGTTCTCCGACTCCCTGCTCCCCTGAGCCTAACCCTGACCCTAATGCTGTCCCATCACCCCTTCTGTGCTATTGGCCAGTGCTGATGTGGGCCAAGAGGACGGTGGCTACCTGGGCCCAGAGTATGGACTCTCCTGCAGAGCAGGCAGCCTCACACTGTAGCACTGGACCTGGGCCCAACCCACAGCCCCTTGGCCAGGATGAGTCCCCTCTGGGAGAGGGAGGAGGCCCTCTCTGCCCCCCACAGTTTGGGGATGGGTTAGCGGGTCTCAAGGCCTACCTACTGTCCAGGGTCATAACCACCTGAATCTGCCGGACCACTCCAAGGACCTGCCCCTACATCATTAGACCCTGCCATTTTGATGATTCTCCTTTCAGAGGTGGCCAGTCCCCCCTGTCATGGACAGAGCCATGCTACAACACAGGATTCTAGGTTTGAACTTCAATAGGGACTTTGGGGGGATGGTCAGGGACTTTTCTCCTGGGAAGCCAGTCTGGCTTTAAGCACAATGGTAGGCACGGTGCCCAAGAAAGCTACCACCAGCCCCACCGTGGGGTTCCCAGCTCCTGTGCAAATGCCCTGCTGTGCATGACAACCTGGCTCTCTCACTCTGTCCACAATGGCCATGGGACGTGCATCCCTCAGGCAGGGAGAGGAAGGAGAGGCCAGGGCTTGGGCCAGCTGGGTGGGGCTCAGCCTCACCCTGGGTCTGCAGAGCCCTGGCTGTGGCTGCCGTTCCTCTGTCCCTGGGGACACGGCACCTCCACTCCTGGCTGCACCTTCCTGACACTCACTTCCTCACCTTTCTCTCCAGCCGCCCAGGAGGAGGCTCCGGGGAAAGCCACCGGAACACTGCCACAGTTGTTGCTGTGCGAGGCTCCTGCCCCTCGGTGGCTCTCAGTCGAGTGGGGGACACAGACTCTCAGGCAGGAAGTGGCTCTGCCCTCAACTCTTCCTGCCCCCCCCCCCAGCCCTGCCCACCCCTCTCCCCTCCATGGCTTCAAGTCTGGGCTAACCTTCAACTCCTGGCCTCCTCCTCTGCCTCCTCGGCTTCCTCCTCCTCAGTAGGCAGGTCCCAGGTTTACCCAAGTCACCCTCATCTCCCATCCCCCTTCCATAGGGCCACCCTCTCCCAGGCCCTCCACCCCCTCTTGGCAGCCAAAGCCACCATCCTGCATCCTCCATGTTGGCCGTGGCTGCTTCTCTCCTCCCTAAGACCGACTCCTTGTTCACACTAAGTCTCATGGATTTCTTCTCATCCCACTCCTTCCGTCTTGCAAAACCACCCCACAATTTATCCTTCTAATCATTTCACTCCCTGGAACAGCTGAGTCATCGGAAGGCGCTCAGCTGTCACTGTGTGCTCCTCCAGAGCCTTGGAGAAGCAGACAGAGGGATCTAGACGTGGTTCAGTTGTTTCCAGTCACCCCCAGGAACTGCCAGCAGGGCCCTTGCTGTCCCTCTCCAGGCCTGGTCCTTGTGCCTGTGGGCGGAGATGGGTCCCCATCCCTGCCTCATTCACTTTGTTCCTTCCAGCCAACAGAGGGGACAGCTCTCTGGACAGTCCTGCCACCCAGCCAAGACCCAGGTGAGCAAGACAAATGCCTCCTCATTCTGCTGTGGCTGAACCGGCTGAGTCTGACCTTTCTCCCAGTCTAAGGAAACAAGGCCTGATGAACAACTCCCCATGTTTCCATCGGAGACAGAAAGCTTGTTACGTTCATGGCTCTCTCCGTCTCTTCGCCCTAGAAGAGTGCTAACACTCCCTGTGGTGGACACCCCAGTGGCCATGGGAGAGGGGCTGTCCACTTACAGCCCGGGGCCTGTCTCCTCCCTTCCCCAAGTGTATTCTGTCCCCTTGGGGTTTTCAGGTCTCACTGATGCTTTTCCACTTTGTCCTCACTGTCTCCAGAGGTGCCCACCACTTCCTCCTGACCTGGCTCAGCAGCCCCTGGTCCTCTGCAGCCTTCTCCTGGGCACAGGGAGGTCTGGCTGGCCTCCTGTGCTCTCCTAAGGCCTGAGGAAGCAGTGCTATGCACCACACCTGCCCAGCCCAGTCTCCCCTGCTATCATCATCCCTGTGGTCAGGGCCAGCAGCGTTCCCGAAGGGACTGGAAAGTGCGAGTACGCTCCACTGCGGGTCCTCCGACCGAAAAGGGCTTGATGCTCCCTACTACTCCCTCTCTGCTCAAGTCACCTTCCACCATCGCCCTTCATTGCCTCCCTAACTCCTCTTGCCTCTTCTTTCTTCCCTTCTAGAATCTTCTAGTTGAATAGAAGAATGAGAGAGTTGAGAAAAAGTTTTTTTTTTTTTTTTCAGATGCATTCTGTTCAATTCTTCTGCCTCATGCTATTTGATCGTAGAATGAAAAATTCACCTAGTGCTTAGGTTCTTCATCATATGGGGTGATGTCCATCAAGCCATCTGGACATTGGGGGGTATGAAAAGCAAATAAGGTATCCAATGAGCATCAAAGGGGAAGCACACCAATTGGAAAGGGATGTCCCTTACAAGAATTAGGCACTGGGATTTCTTTCCTTAGAGCTAGGTTGCCTTCCCTTAGCCCCTGGTAATCATGGTGTCCTGGCGGACCAGCTGGACCCTAGAAGGCCGGTGGGCCATGATGTTCGCGCGGAATTCTTTGATGACAAAATAGTAACAGAAAACGTCAAGGCAGCAGTTGACGTTGGAGAAACACATGGACAGTTGCAAGAACAAGCTGATCCTCTGCTTGGCTCTGCACTCCGTGATGAAGCCATTCCTCACCAGGAACTGCAGGAAGAAGCTCAGGTGGACTGGGAGGAAGGAGACCACAAAGACTGCCAGGCTGGCCGCGATGGTCCAGATGCAGGCTCTCTGCTGGACCCAGTCCTGGGTGTGGCCCCTGCGAGCGAGCAGAATGTGGATGCTCCTGGAGGAGCAGAAACACATGATGACCATGGGAAGGAGGAAGCCGAACACCTCGAGGGGAAAGAAGACCCTGGCACTCCAGGTACCATCCGACATGTTGTGGAAACACGTGAACTTATCCACTTTCCCATGGAAGTTGTAGATGGGGATGCTCCCGGTCCACACCAGGACCCAGATGGCGCAGCAGATCCCAAACGTCTTCCTGGGGGACCGGAGGTGGCTGACCAGGAGCGGGTACTGGATGGCCAGGAACCTGTCCAGGCTGATGAAGCAGATGGTGAAGACGCTTCCATACATGCTGACAAAGTAGAGGCATTCCACCAGCGTGCAGGAGGCCGAGGAGGGCAGGTGCACGTCCGACAGGACCAACTTGAAGGGGAGCGAGAGCACCAGCAGCAGGTCAAAGATGGCCAGGTTGATCATGTAGATGGAGGTGGCCCTGTAGTCTGGCCACCTCTTCTTCAGGAAGGTGCTGAAGCCGCGGATGGCCAGCAGGTTGAGGAGCAGGCCCAGGAGGAAGGTGGGGACGTGGACCACCAGCTGCAGGGTCTTCATCAGCTTGTCCACGTCATTGAAGGAGCAGTTCTCGCTTGCGTGCAGCCAGCTCATGTTCTTGCCTGCAACACCAAGGGCAGGTTAGATGGTGCTGTCACTCTCTTGAGTGAGGGACTCGAAGGACTTGGTGGAAAAGAATAAATATTTCCTTTGGATCGTGCAGCAATCCATGTTCCTCGAGTCACAATCAGAAAACACTGAAGAGAAAGAGACTTCTAATCCCCCTGCCCCAGAAAAAGCCATGGTTACTTTTTCATTCAGATGGCATTAGATCGACTTAGAATGGAGTTACGTCCCAATAAACTCATCAGGAGGGTAAAATGCCTTTAAATGCCTGATCACCAAACACTGCAGTGCAGCCTATCCTGCCTTGAATGTGCTAAGAACACTTCCATTAGCCTGACATTGGCAAAAGTCATCTAACACCAAGCCTTTACTTTACAATAAGTTGTTTAATATCTTATTCAATACAAACCCTGACCCAAAATGGTTTAAGCAGAGAGAAAATTTCACATAATGGAAAAACGCGAAAATAGGGTAGGGTTATATTCAGGTACAGCTGGATCAAGGATTCGAATGCTGCCTCCAGGACTCAGCTCCTCTCTACACGTTGTCCCCCGTGCCCTCCCACTCACTGTGACTTCACCTCTGGCTGTAGGAATACTCTCAGTCAGCATATCACAGTCTTCCAGACACAGGAATTATTCTGTCACTGGTTCAGGGACAAATGTTTGACCCACTCAGAGGCAACGAAAAGCAATACAACTCTTGCTTGGGTTTCTTTCTGCAGGATTAGAAGTTGGGCAGATGCAAAGTCCGGAGCTGCCTCAGCCTCTTGCTACCCCAAAGAGAAAACCAGACAGAAAATGGAGAAACATGGAAGAAAGGATGTCCCCAGAGGGAATGAAGTGGGGGCCTGCAGTCTCTATGGGGCAAGGAAAGGCCTTTAGAGAGGTTGAAGATCAGGAGAAGGGAACCGAGGCTGTAGGGGTGGTGATACAGGGATGTGGTCTGAGGCAGGAGGAGGGCGAATAGCAGAGGGAGCATTCTCTTGCAGTTTCATAGTATCAATAACTGAGCAATAAATAAGCCTGGCCACTTTGGGAGAGCGTGGGGTGTGCCATTGTGGGTGTCAATACCAAGGCAGGTGGCCCTGGACCACATCACAACCTGATGTTCGACCCCAGCATCCAGAATCAGTGCTGCTGGGGAGAAAATTCAAATATGACCCCATCCTGCCACCACCACCTCCCTGCCACCTCTGCCCTCCTCCCTCCACCTCCCCCCAAGTAAAGCCAAGCCGCTGATGTGACATTGGACAGCCTGTGTTCGCTAGTGCCCAGTGTCCCTTGTAGAAAGTTGATCACACTGGGCCTCGTGCTTCAGTGTCTCGCAGCTCGGCCTGCTCCATGACCCTCACTTACGTACGTCCTCCACCCTCCATGACCTCCCGGCGGGCAGGGAAGAGCATCAACACAGCCTGTCACTGTAGGGTCCTGCACCAGTGACCCTCACCAGACAACTGTTTTAGCTTTTATTGTTATACTAGTTTTTTTTTTAATTGAAAAAGAATTCCATGCACCCAATAAGATAGTCCAACAGTACAAAAGACCATGCTGAGGAAGGTCACCGGAACCCAGGGCCTCGGTTGTACCTTCTCGAGTCAGCCACGGTTAGCAGCTCCTTGCATGCTTTTCGCAGAAATTTCCCAAGTCCAGGCATAAGTGAGGGGACAGCTTTAAAATTTCCAAAATATTATACCTGCAGCTCTGTCCCTTGCTTTTTTGCTTAACAGTGTTTCTGGGAATTGTTCCACATCAGTGTATATAAGCCAACTTCTCTCCCTAGCAGCTCTGCTGCATCCCATTGTGTGAATAAACCACAATTCCTTTAGGAATTAGTAGCCTATCGACAAACACTTAGGTTTCCTAGTGCTTTATAGGGTAACAAGAATTCCATAATAAAATTCATGTGACTTATTTATTGCTCAGTTATTGATAACTATGAAACTGCAAGAGAATTCCCCCTCTCCTATTCTTTACCATAATTACAGTTCCTTGGGAGCCTTTGGAAGAAAGGATTTAGGTATTTTGAAGATCTTGTATGAAATATCATTCCCAAACCTCTTCATTCTCTTAATTAAAAGAAAAATATATAATATATAAATGTATATAAATATAATATAGAAATGTATCTAATATGTATTATATAATATATAATAATATATATTTATATATAATATATAGGCCTGTAGATATGTATTTATAGATATAAGGATACACCACCCATTGAGCACTGTGGGCTAAACATTTAGCATACATTACTTTATTTGGTGGCTTTCCAAAGAGTCTGTGCTTTCCTCTGGGTTAGCTTTTCTTATGGGCTCATGTCACAAGAGACCCAGGGAAACATCTCCTGGTGATTAAAGCTTTGGTCCCTTCAGTGCATGAGGATGGTGCGCCATGGGAGAGCAGGCGGAACCTCTGCAAAAACTGGTCCTGAACTCAGGCCCCGTGAAACCTCTGCTACTGGAGGAAGCGTGGACCAAATACAGGCCAGCAGGCTGCTTCCTCTTGACAAAACCTGCCAAAGAGCCACAGGACTATCTCAAAAAATAGCTAGCACATCTCGGGACCCACAGGATAAATGTTTAAATGATGAGAAAAGCAGGTCTAACTGAACTATGTCATAGAGAGCAAATCCCTTAGAGAAGTCATCTTCAAGATCAGAGACAGCAGAAAACCAAGAACCACTAAAATTAAGCAAAACTTTATGCTTAAAGAAATCAAACAAAAGTTAAAAAAAAAAAAAAGAGCGTAGAGCATCTGTTTTGGGGTTGGGTCACACTCTGGGAAACTCCATAGATGAATCTACCATATTGGGGGTGGTTTGAAGACTAGAACTAAAGTCGCCAAGAAGAAAATCAGTGATGCTCAAAGATCAACTCAAACCCCAAATATGGCTAAATTAGGAAGAAAAGAAATGAATAACAGAGAGGGAAGATGGTCGGGTGGAAAGCATGCAACCCAGGCCTGTGTTTCCTGAGCTTACTGTGTTCACTGAAGCAGGTGTCCTGTGGGAGACAGACACCATTCCCCTCCGTGTTTTCCAGTAGGACTGTCCTAAAGGTCACATTTGAATTACTGACAGACTTCAAATGGAAAATTCTCAGATGGCAATCTTTGAAGCCAGAGAGAGCACTCACTCCGCAGACTGGCAAGAAGAAATTAGGTGGAAAAAAATCCTGCCAGCTAATAGCAGAGTGAGCAGAGAATCTGAAATATTAATCCTCTGAATTCCCTCTGAAGGTCAAAGGAAGCCATCTTTTAAAGAATCTCTTTTAAAAAAAAAAATCAGGAGCTTCACTAGACTTAAGATAAAAAGGCACAAATGCACTCCGACTGCAGCAAGATGAAATAGACGAACTCTAGATAGGGCAGAGGGGTGGGAGGGGAGGGAGGGGGCAGGGGCTTATTAATGGTGATGGACTGTGAGGATCATTATTATCCAAAGCACAGGTATGAAGACATGGATTGGTGTGAATATACTGTGTATACAACCAGAGATATGAAGAATTGTGCTCTATATGTGTAATAAGAATCATAATGCATTCCACTGTCCTATATGAATTTAAAAAATAAATTTAAAAGAAGAATTTGAAGATTAAAAGAAAGAAAGAAAGAGTCATCCTTCTCTAAGAAGAGACGTTAATAAAGACCCGCTCTCACTTGACCTGGGGACTGTGGCCATTGGCGACTCCTGTTCTGGCCAACCCAGGGTTCGGTACCAATCCATTCCTCACAGTGCAGGTGGCTGAGTCCCTTCAGGTCCTCTGAGAAGCAGGTGCTGAGACACCGTCGACATCTAGAAGCCTGATCAGAGGAAGTGCTACAAAAGAGTGAAAGGGCGAGCAGGAGTGGAGAGGAACGCCCCAGACCCCCACAGTCTGACCCTGTGGCAGGCGACAGGAAGGAAGGACCCAGGAGGAAGAGCCTGAGACCACAGGCAGCTCTGAGAACACCTTGGCCAGGCTGTGGCATGTCCCTGAGCAATGGCTGCCTGTTGAAGGAGCCCCAGGCAGAACAGGAATCACGCAGGCCCAGTACCTCTGCTGGGCTCAGTCACTGTCTGGGAGCAGGAAGGTGTGGACTCTGTGTCAACACCACAGTGGACCTGAGCTGCCATGTCCGTCTCCAGGGTCCCCAGCAGCAGGGTTTCTGGAAGGGAGATCTGACCACTGTTGGTCACCAGCAGTGTGCAGGCTGAGACACGGGGCTGAACTGAACAGCAGAAAAGATGAGATGTGGTGGACACAAAAACCTAGGATGTTCAAAAAAAAAATTAGAACAACCTATCAAAGTCTCTGGGACACTGTGAAGGCAGTACTAAGAGGAAAGTTTATTGCATTGAGTACATTCATTAAAAGAATAAAAAGTCAACAAATAAATGACCTAATACTACATCTCAAAGCCCTAGAAAAAGAAGAACAAATCAACAACAAAAGCAGTAGAAGACAGGAAATAATTAAAATCAGAGCTGAAATCAAAACAATTGAAAAAACTGACAAAACAAAAAGTTGGTTTTTTGAGAAATAAAATAAAATAGATAAACCCCTGGCCATGCTAATGAAGAGAAAAAGAGAGAAAACTCAAATTACTAAAATACAAGATGAAGAAGAAAATATTACAATGGATATGTCTGAAATACGGAAAATAATTAGAAACTATTTTGAAAATTTATACTCCAATAAAATAGAAAATATTGAAGACATCGACAAATTTCTAGAGACATATGACCTACCCAAACTGAATAAGGAGGTCATACATGCTTTAAACAGGTCAATTTCAAGTAATGAAATAGAAAATGCCATCAAAAGCCTACCAACCAAGAAAGGCCCAGGACCAGATGGAGTCTCAGCTGAGTTCTACAAGACTCTCAAAGAAGAATTAACACCAATACTCCTCAAAGTATTCCATGAAATAGAAATGGAAGGAACCCTTTCAAACTCATTCTATGAGGCTAATATCACCCTGACACCCAAACCAGACAAAGATACATCAAG